TGCTGAGCTGCTCTACTACACAGCACTCTATTTAATTTCCATCAGGTGTTGTAGAAGAGACTCCTCTTTTTGGATTGGACAGTTCCAGGGTTCATTGAAAGTAAGTGACTGAGCTGTTGCTCTGTTGAACTTCTCCCATTAGCTGTTGTTCTTTTAAAATTATTTGGTGCAATTAGTGAGTGCAACTCCATTCTTTTGATTGCTCTGATCCTCTTAGCTCCCATGTCACAGTTCAAACAGAAACTATCAAGTTAGGTGAGACACTCTACTGAGCCGTAGGACAGCATTCATTGAGCATGGACCAGGACATTTAATTTAAGTCTGTATGAAAAAAAATAACAAACAGTACAATTTTCATTTTTACACGCCTGTAAACATTGTTTTTAAAGACACTTTCTCAGGTGACACAAACTGCAAAACAATGCATACATTCAAAGGAAATGCACATATTACATATAAACAGTTACTTTACAGACTGTGGTTTGAATAGTGTGCTCACAGTATTAATAGAAACTAGAATTATTGCACTGTGGTTGTATGTCTCTGCCAACCAGTGCAGTTTCTGTGTACATATTTCTACTTTTTTTTTCTCTACAAAATGTGCTTTGTAAGGTCACAGTGACCTTGACTTTTTGACCTTTGCCCAACAAATTCTATTCAGGTCATATGTGAATCAAAGTTAATGTTTGTTCCAAATTTGAAGACATTCCCTCTGGCCGATCTTAAGATGTCCCTTTTAAGAAAAAAATAAACATATTTTGTGAGGCTACCGTGACCTTGACCTTTGGCTACCAAAATCGAATCAGTTCATTTCAAGTACAAGTGAATGTTTGTACCAAATTTGAGGAAATTCTGTCAAGACATTCTTAAGATATCGCGTTCACGGAAATGGGACAGACATACGGACAGATGACCCCAAAACATATTGCCTCCGGCCACCGGCTATCGCTGGTGCGGAGGCATAAACACAGATTCTTGTCAAACAATTTATCTCAGGTGAAACAGCAGCAAAATTATTATGTTGACAACAAATCACAGAATCTTTGCAAATACACACTTTGGGTCATACGTTGCTGTTTATACCTGGAGACTGAAGACTGATCCAGCTGTGCCATCATTATAAGAAACACGTGTTGTTTTAAATGACAGTTCAGGGGAATCTTTACCTCACATTGTATATAGAAGCGACTGAAAAAAAAATGAGAAGCACCCCTAGTCCAATTCAAACAGGTAACAATACACACACTATACACAATCCAGTGAGTCCAAAGCTGTCTGCTTTACCTACTGTATATGATGTATATTGTCAGCCATGTATATATATATATATGCAACTGTTAGTTGCAACAACAATGCAGCTGTTAGCTGCAACAATGATAACAAACAAGTTTGTAACCAAAAGTATGAGTAGAATTCAGACATGAACTCTACTCATACTTCTTGGCTTTAAGTTAAACCAAAAATAAGTTCTCTTATTCATTTCAAAGAATGCTATTTCTCCTGATACAATGAGCTGCCCCCGTGGCATTTTGTATGGACCTGTATTTGTGATAATTTTGTTAGAAATTGCTTTGATGGTTTCTGTTTTGTTTATAGAACCTCTATTTTCTCCTGTCATAAAAAACATTACATGTAATTGAAAGCAAATGTGCGATCATGTGTGGGCTTGACTGTAAGCATTCTTCGGATAATCTTTAATAACAAAAAACAACGTACAAATTGGAAGTCTTTCAGTGAGACTAATAATGAAACAGAACCTACTTGATAATAAAAATGTGTGGAGGTGCTTTGTTATCCTGGTATTATATGTGGAAACATGCTTTTCAGAGATACACAGTGCCAACACACAAAGTAAAAACAGGCGAGAAATGCTTATCATACATATTTCACACTAGTTTTCAATGCAGCTTGACACAAAAAAGTAGAATGAATACTGGTTAGATGTGCAAGGGCTGGAAACTGCAACTGCCTTTTGTGCTGAATAAAGTATATGTGGTCCACTCACATTACATAAACTTCTTGTAAATATCCATTATACTGCAGCATAACATTTACATCCAGAGCCAGCTTTAAACGCTATGAAACTGATACTACTAATACTACTACTACTACTACTACTACTACTACTACTACTACTACTACTAATAATAATAATAATGATAATAATAATAATATGTAATAACCACAGATACTGTAAATGTCATTAATAATAAACCAGCCCTGCAACCCTAAAATGATAAGGCATTAGATAATGGATACATGTTTCATGGACACATTTGAGACAAGAATTTTAACTGTGTACAAAGACACACAAACACATAAATCTGTGGCCACTGCAAAGAGCTGGCAAAAAAACCAAACAATTGATACTGTTCGGTGGGAAGTGAAGGATAATGTCCTGTTCATTGCACTTGAGCAATAACAATATGCTAAATGTTAGGTTGTTACATAAAAAAATGATGTTGTTATCATGCACAAAAGGCTGTTGCATCATGTGCTCAACATTTTTATTTTACATTTTAATTGTAGGTAGTTTGTTATATTATTAGCTTTTATAAGCTTAGCTTACTTCTCATAACCATGATCTCTACCTCACATTTGCTATACTGGTACAATGCAGTTGGATTGAAAATGAAGATCATTGCATTGGAATGAGTAACTGAATGGTCTAGTACAGTCTTTTTGTGGTAACTGAAGGCAGTTTTCTTCTTCAATTTTACAGAGTTTAGATCATTTCACGCTGTGTGGTATTATGTTATTAGTGACAAAGTTTGCAGTCTATACGCTTCTTGTTTGGGTGATGACATGTGACCACAATACACGTTATCTGCTCTACAACAGTAATACACGAGCACTGGAAAGTTAATCTGGATTTAAAGACATGTGTTAAACTACAGACTGAGTGGTATCATATCACAGCTGATCTGAAAATAGCCCACAAGGTGAAAAGTCAGTCAGGCAGACGTTTGGCTCATGACTATATTTATGATGGCATCCTACTATAGTCTGTTGACAGAGTTGTAAACAAGCTGCGCTAAAACAAGTTCTCCGTTGGCCAGTACTAAGAAACATGGATGTGGTTAGTGACATACCTTCAGGGTTATACCCTGGGTTTTCAGGGTTACACCAGTGGTTCACATTTTTATCAGGATACATAAATGTGGTAGCTTCACACCTAACCAGGTTTTGTCTGAGATCATGGACCAAGGCATATAAAAGCACTGCCAAGTTTCCAATAAATTATCTTGGAAAATGACATTATGACTAAGGTTAGATGAGGGTGGAGCTTGGTGTGCCGACTGTGAGAGGGTCTCTATGGAGGCCAGAATATTCAGCCCCTTTGCTTTTTCTGTTGAGGGTTAAGGACAGAGGATGTTCCACCTTGTGAAGTGGATCTATATATATAAAATAGGGTTTTCTTATGATGCTTTTATATATATATATATGAGTGACCTACAGCAGAAACAAATTGGAGCATTAAAGCTTTTAATTTTCTTTTTTATGTATTTATTTATCCACAATGTGAGGGGCCATCAGGGGCCCCTTTTTTGACAGCCCCAAACATTTCCCTGTTCTGCCACTCTTGACAGTGCCTGTAGCCATTACAAAACGTGCTATGGGTTGACTACTTGGGTTGACTCATCATGTGAACACTTGATGAGACCACGGTTGTTGGGCTTCAGCAGATAATGAGCTTCATTGTACATGGCATTTACACTGAGCATAGGTCAGCTCGAGAACAGCATGTTATAT